TTATTTTTCAGATACTTGAACATCTGTTTAGCTCTAATTTAAGGATAGCGTATTGTATTTCATAAGGCTAGCAGTCCCCACCAACAACGATTTTTACTCTACAGAGCCCCATCACCCTTTTAAAGACCGCTTTTTGGTAATCTGAGTAGTCAAATGGAAACGTACACGATATTACTTTGCGCAACCCGATAATACTACCACCACGATGTGGACCAGGCTCACGCCTATATTGTATCTAATGACACTACGCAAATTGGCGTGATGTTTTTTCATTCAACAATGACTGCTCTTCAGGGCATACTCGAAAAGAAATTTGTCTCCCTTGCATACATAATTATGCTAACTGGTCCCGAGAAAAACGCGATCATGGCTGTTACAACATACAGATCAATCTCGGTGCAAAAGCTGAAGTATTTTGAAAGGTGAAAGACATTACAAGTCACAGAGTCCTATCCTGGCACAATAAAACATACGGCAGAACCATTCACCAATTTCACCAAGTTCACCGTCTCTACTCCGCACGACTGACGTCCTTCGTGCCTGTCACCAAGGCGATAGCTGTTGCGTCAGTTCGTTGTGGACACGATGACGTTCGTTTTGTTACTGATAAGCTGGAACAGTTTAGGTGGCCCAGCTTTCTTGTCGACAAGCGCAATAGTTGCGATGAATTTTGCAGACCAAACACGTCAATACTGCGGTATCAAATTAGCAGAAGTTGCTTTCCGGACCATGATAGCTCTTTTGCACATGAATCTTTCTCATCTGTAAAGAGCCGAACAAGCGCTCTTTTGTCGTCCACAAGTCTCAATTTCAAAAAGATTCAGTGATATCAACTCACCGAGCTGTATGTAATTGTGGAAAGTCCTGATTAGTTTGAGATATATGTGCTATTATGTACCAAGCTTGATTGTCGGAGATGGTCGACAATACACACAGGCATTGACAGCTTCAAATACAAATACAACATCCTTGCATCTCGCAACGTGGAAACGGTATGAAAGTCAAAGGCAGATTAAGCTGAAGTCTCATAAAGAGACCGTAAAAAAGACGATTGTCTGATACAGATTACGAAGCGTATCTTCTTTGAGACGAGACAGAACAACTGTATGTCATGGTATCTCTGACGGGACGGTTACGATCAGTGGTGAGCTGTTGTTATTAGGCCAGGACTGGAAGCAGCTGCTTCATAGCGTTTCATGCCAGGACTGGAGATGCTGAAGGGCGACTAGAAGTCGTGATTAGAAGGCCAGGATCTTAAGATAAGAAAGATGGTCCATCCGTTCCGCAATTTGACGATATGACTGGGTCAGCACGTCCGCGTGACAGGCATATCGTCCGAATCAGTGAAGCCCTCCGGGTAAGTGGCGAGCTGATCCTATGCTTGTGAGTACAGTGACCAAAGTAGCCCTAGAAATTGTGAGTCTCCCCTCGCTCCCTTCAGCAAAAGTACTTATTGGGCTAACAATCTATGTTTCAGGGATATATGCAAGAATCTACAAGATGATAAGATTACCATATGATAAGGTTGGTGCCAGAGGTGGAGCCAACCTCATCAATCGGGATGGATGAATTTATTATTTGGGATACTTACATATCACTGAGCGAATGGTTTAACATGTATTGTAACAAATCCTGCAAATCAGTTTATTCTTTGCTGAAATAATATAACGACGTGGTGCCGAGAACTCTCCCACGCGTATCAAAACGAGTGCGTCATGATTATGATTTGTATCCGGGAACCATAAATTGACCCAATTGGCAATGGCCCTCGCTAAAAACAGTGTGACGATGTTGTCGACCTCTTCCGTCCAAATTGCACTGCAGATTTGATGAGAGAAAGTAGTTTCCGACATTCGGCACCGGCTCATTATTAAAAATAGGCTACTACAAAATGGCAAATTATAATGTCCTCACGATTTGAGTGCTAAAGTCGATTCTAGAAAGGAATGATGTAGAACAACAGCATGGTCGGCTGGACTTTGTCAGTGCACATGGCATATTTGATAGTTGTCATAAGTTGCTGATCAGAGACAGCAATGTTTATCATTGTGCGAGAGCTGAATGTTCAGGAGTGGCTGTTATGGCACATGAACTGTTTACTGCACCAGCGACATTTAGTCTGCTTGTGACAAATCAGATAAGGTCAAATTGCGACTTCGCAGAGACCTATTCTGACGATTTTCAGTCGCTAGTCGTGCCGAGCACGTATAGTCGAATGCGGAGAACTAATTTCGCACATCTGCTCAAGTATCTGTGCTATTTGCAAATATAGACAACTGGCTCACTGGCACCGACAATACCTCCTTTCTGGGTCGCCTCAGTCCAAAGCAGGGCCCACATGCATATCTCGCAAAGATACAAAGGTAATTCTCCCAGAAGGACGTGAGGAAGTTGTTTGGCAAGAACAACTATTTGCTTAGGTGCAGTTTAAACAATGATGAGATGACAGGACCGCTCATCGATCACTGGTAACGGGGGGGGGGTTAATGGTGCTGAGGTGTGACCGAAGAGGCGGCCTTCAAGGCTGTGAAAGAAAGCGTCTTGCGTGCCCCGATTTTCCCTCCGAAACCAGATCTGTAATTCCGCGTCGTCTAACTCTTCAGACTTTGCATACGGCTCTGCATTGCGTCGATAAAATAAAAAAAATATACAAACGAGCATGATTGCGAGACAACATTTAGATATCACCAGCCGATGGCCGCTGAGAAGAACTCCCATGCCCACAAAAAGGAGCTTGCCATGAACAATGCCCTCGTCAAGTTTGAGGTATATCTTGCTGCGTTTAATTTGTTTGTAATCTATGCAGATCGTGTGTCGTTGCGCACAGCGATGTCACCACATCTCTCACAGAGACTTAAAGAACATTTTCTTCTTTCTGCCAAGTACACATATATGAAGTAACTTGAAAGCCGAGCCAGGTATTCGTGATGGCATAGTTTTTTTGCCTTATTATACTGTCGCATATTACGATGACGATGTTATCAATTGATTGTCACACACAGCATATGTTGCTCAGCTAAAATCTTTGAAAGAAATAAATTTGAATATTCATATGTTGCGTTTTTGAAGCGCGCGGCTACAAGCCAACACCGCAATGCTTAATCCGTAGGCTTTCTACGAATTGCTATATCAGCACTATCCACATGGCATTCAGGGAATAGTGGTTCTTTAAATGAAGCGCGCAAGTACAGAATACTGTACGAAGCGCATGACGTGGCCGTTTTGGGAAGGTAGGCCATACTGCTCAGTGAGCGCTATGTATTGTTGGCCCATTATCTATAAGTAGGTAAGTACATATATGCACACGTGTGAAACGTGCCAACAGGCTAAATCTTTGCTATATGCGGTGGCACCTCCGACCTGTCCGGGCAGAGTCCTGCACGACACTGATCCCGTCGTGACTGCCACCGTGTTGACAGGATCAAATGTAGTCGAGACTAGCGCGTCCATGCTGGGCCGTGTGAATCGAGGGTCTATCAGTATAAACTTCATTTGCGGTCTTCCAATAAAATCACATCCAGTAGTACCAGTTTGTGGTCTTTATGAGCAGAGGGGATACCGCCAAGCCGCTCTTTTGACAAGGTGTTTTGCCAGTAAAGCATTCCTGCAACCATTGTATCGGAGAGAGATCCAAGCTATACGGATTAGTTAACATTACGTAAGGTACTTAGCGCCAGATTGAAGATGTCATCTGCTCACCATTCAACATATTACCATTAACAACGCGTAATTTGCGTTCTGGAGTATATCTATCGGAGCACTCGCGCGGAAAGACCGCGACGCTAAACCTAGTTGTTCGACCCATTGAGGTTGCGTCAAGTTACGCAGTACACATTTCTACACACTCGAACCCAATTTTATAAATGTTTGGTGATCCCTCCAGTGCCTTTGACACATCACGGGGTCCCTATGTCTTGTGGGGAAGGGCTGACGATCCAAACCGACTTGCCGATATCAGCTTAGCTATACTTTGTAGCAAAATCAGTGATCTATCTCGATAAAACTGAGTGTCATGTGCAAGGAGCGCGATACAATGACAGAGAGCCAAGACAAACAGTCTATTAGACCAAATAGCAAGCACGCAACATCCGACTATTCACAGTCGTGGAGATAAAAAAATCGAGCTGTTTCCTGATACCTCGAAGCAAGCGCGGGCACACTCAGTGTTAAATGTGAGATATAACGATCCCGCTCTTATATGCCCGGTGGACAGGAAGTGTAACGTGGCAAGGATACTGAATCTTGTGTACTGTACCCTCAAACATTAAGTAGAACGTCCGTTTTTGAAATAGCAGAGCAAATATCCAGCTTTAAATAACTGAAATGCTTTCAATTCCGCTCCTGGTAGGAGCGCATGAGCTCGACCTCTATGAGTTTGTGAGTCCGGAGTCTGAAAGTCAAAGCCTCCTCTGTGCAAAGTGCACGGAAGCGCCGTCAGAACGTCAGTGATATGTCATAAAACACCATATATGATATTTACATTAGGTATCTATAAGAAATCACATTAGGAGTAAGCAAACAGATACTAAAATTTACCGGATGAAACTTTTTTTTTGCAGAATAAAAAGCGCATTTTTTTTAATCACTGGCTTTTTAGCATAAAATGTGGAGGAAAGTAAAGATATCAACACGTTTTTAATTTTAAACAAATTGACCTCTATATAATTTGTGAAAAATTGACCTTTTATTAATTTGTTAAAATTGACCTCTTAATCATTTGCGGTCAAAATGTAGTTAGCAAACAACCCCGCAAGTATAGAAAAACGAATTCAAAACCAACCTTATTCGCAACGAAATTATCTAAAGCCACTCGCAAATCCATGATTTAGGTCGACACCGAATGTTCTTTTTCTTTGAGAGCAACCAACTTGCTCTCTACAGCTAAAGCATCGGCTTTCGTCAGTGGTTCCTGTTTTGCGCTCTCAAGAATTTGACGTAATTCTTTTTTGTTGTTATTTACGTGTTCCAGCAGCCCGCGAAATAACAACTCGGACCTGTCCTCATTCGGCCATAACAACTTCTTGCAATAGGTCCAGAATGAAAGAGTCAGCGAATTCAGAATCTCGGCGCTCTGCATATCACCAAAGAGAACACGGAATGCTTTGACTGGTGGTGTTTTCTGATGTGTCCAATATTGAATCAAATCTCTGAGAATTGACCTACCATGCATCGGGATAGGTGCAGGTTCACCAGCTACTTTCGGTTGCGATGCTGAGAGTATCTTTTCGATGACATGTCCCAAACCATTGTTCTTTTTTGCTAACTCTCCCAGCAGGTAAAGATGAGGATACTTTGCAGGTGGACCCTCAAAGCCGCGGGCAAAAGCGACAAATACAGAGAAATAAGGATTCATCCAGTTGATTTTTCCTGGGCCGTAAGCTGCATTTGTATTTTCCACAAAATCAGCTAGCGTAATCCCTCTCTTGTGCCAGTCGATCATCTGCGTTTTTTGTAACCTCACAGCATCTACGGCCCATTCGGTTGTCATGGCCTCCTGTAGGTACCGTGACAGTCTAATGTCACTATAGAGTCTACGTAACAAGTAGTATTGTGCTTTGTGCTGAGCGGATTCCGTTTGAAAACCACTGGCGACATAGTCAATAACCAGCTTATAAGTTGACGATTTAAAAGGTGATTGATTTAAATCGGCAAATGGTCTGAAGTGTTCAACAAAATCTCCGTCGAAATCCCTGTTGACCATCCTCGTACCAAAGATCTCCATAGTACCAACAAAGTCTCGGCTAAGATCACACAGTTCTTCTATTAGTCTCTCCTCGTCGGAGTTGTTGAAATGTTTGAAATTGGTGAGACCATGAACTTGTTTACGATCTTGAGTGTCATCAGCGCTGGCTTCACGTGATACGACAACAAAAGCGAAGAGAAGAACAAGAGGATACGATCGCATTGGTGTCAGGGTAGAGGAGAGAGATTTTTTAATTGGTCCACGAATCAAAATATGTTATATCTGATAATGTATGACATGAGTAGACACAGTAATAAAATTTTCTCATTAATTCAAACAGTAATTACTTTACAATTTCAGCAATTAAATTCTCCAATCAAACTAATAAAATTTTCTCATTAATTCAAGCAGTAATTACTTTACAATTTCAGCAATTTAATTCTCCAATCAAACTTTTCAAAAGGATCGAGTTTTCGCGCCGAAAACCTCCCGCCTAATTCAAAAAGTCCAAAAAGGCCTACGTGGGACGCGGCACACGACCTTATTTTCACGAGCTATGGCGGACGATGTGTACTATCGCCAAGTGATCAGTCAGATGCAGAGTGAATTTACGCGTGCAGTCTCTGCTTTGGAGAAGCAAGTTGCAACGTTGACGCGTCATAATGAGCTTTTAACGCAGGAACTAGCACAAACGAAACAACAACAGAGTGAGTGGACACAAGAAGCAACACAGACCGTCACGCAACTTCAGCATCAAATTCAGAGACAAGTTGAAGATGCTGCAATAGCTCAACAAAAAGCGACGGACAAGGAAGAGGCACTTGTGCTTGAAATAGCGGCACTTAAGAGTCTATTACAACAAGAACAGGATTATTGGACACGATACGATGAGGCAGGGAAGCAAGATCGGGATCGATTAACACAACAAGTAGCAAAAGCCAAGGCTGAGACGCTCCAACATCTTGAACAGAACAGAATCTTGAGAAGGGAAATCAAAGCTTTGCAATGTCGAGTTGATACGGCAGTTGCAACAAGCAATAGCTTTGAACAGCGACTTTTAAATGTCGTCAAGGAAAAAGACCAAGGTCTACTACAAGCTGAGACACAAGTTGCACATTATAAGAAGAAAGTGCATGAAAAACGAGCACAGAATAAATATCTGACCGAGGCATTAGTGAAGCTACAGACACAACGACAGAGTGGAGAAAGGAGTAGTAGCAATGGCAATTCTTCCACTGAGAGCCCGAAACTTGAGAGATCTGATGTTGAGATGATCAAGCCTTTGGAATCTTTGGTACAGCGACGGAGAAAGAGAGAATTGACGTTACCAGAAGAGATTAAAGCCGCAGCAAATGTGACGACATCGAAACTCTACACGAGTAAGAAACTTGGCGTGTCTCGAATTCGAACATCTCCGACGTCCTCATCACCCGAGATCTCACCGCGATCGGCTCGAATGACTCCGTACCAACGACCGCCTTCAGTTGCAACAACGACACCTACTACGTCAGATGGTGTGAGCTTTAACAGCAACAGTAGCAATGGCAGTCTACGTAGTTTACGTAGTTTGCGCAACGTGACAACTAGACGAAGAGGCAACCGGAATAGCAGCGACAGTGACAGTGCGAACGACAGAAGTAGAATAAATACAGAAGGAGAAGAAAAGACGAGCCCTACGGGACGGCTTGAGCGCGAGTTGAATTGTTTGCGACGAAAGTTGGATTCATGTATCGCAGATGCTGCTGCACGGTGGTAGATCTAGAGGTTGTGATGTAAATGAGCTGCAAGAAGGTGCCGATAAGTCGAGACTTTGTGACGCGTGTTGGGACTCATTTCTCCCAGACAGTGACAATGCCTCACCGAATTGGCCGATGGAATCAATTGAAGCAGATACAAGTGAGAGAAAACTCATTACTTTTCTCTTGTTGATGTATCAACCAAAACCTCTAGAGACCCATGACTCTCTGTGGTGCGGATGTGTACAGCGTATCGTTGGTCAAAGTATTTTGAATGTGGCTTATTGAGGCATCTGACACTTACGAAGTGATTCATCAGCAGACTCAGTGGATCGAGGCTCATTACCCTCGTTGATGCTGTAGATCCTGATAGTTTCTTTGTAAGTTGTGAGCATCAGATGCATTCGCGGCAGTTGATAAGGACTCATCACTCCTTTGATCAACTACTGCGTTTGCTTCTATGTTCGCTTTCGAAGTTGCTTTGATTTGTCCATTTGAAGCTTTCTGGTCTACAATGAGCTTAACCACACCGATTCATGCTTCTGCTTACTTGATGCTGTCAACAACTTTGCTTTTCAACAATGGAAACAGTCAAAAGTACGTGTAGTCTGGTGAAAACATTGTGCTTTCGCGATAACCGTACATGTAGATAGCGTATCGTGGAGCTACAAAAGGGTATTTATTAGCAATGAAAATTGTTTTGACTTGAATGTCTTTTTACTAAAAAAAACGAATGGAACGACAACTGACACACTAACGAACAAATGTTGTGATTTTCTCTACCATCTCAATCAATTATTTCCACTCAACACCGGAGCCTTCTCCCTCATCGTCCTCGTTCGGATGGTCTTCGTCATCTAGATACTCCATGAGTTCACTTGTGCCAAACTTGTCCATATATTCGTCTTCACTCATATCACCATAGACGCTATGTTTGTCGTCCACCATATTTTCCCAATGATCTTCTAGTGCTAAGATTCGTCTTGTATCAGCACGCATAAAGTGTACTACAATATTATTGCAGTCAGCAATCATCCAGTCGTCACAGTCTCGTCCTTCCACTCCATAGTCGAAATCGTCCACAATTTCTCTCGCTTTTAACGATTTAATCAACAAATCAGCCATACGTCGCATATGGGCTTGCGATCTTCCCGTGACGAACACCATATAGTTGGCCAAGCCACTCTTACCACTTAAGTCCACGGTATACACATCAATAGCCTTCTCCCGTTCAAGAGCTTTCTGGACTTCGTCAAGACTTAAATAAGTCTGCGGTATGGGAGGAATGATGTCTGCATGGCGATTTCCTGCAACAGGAGCCTCCCAATCCATATCAACAGCTTCCTTCTGGTCAATTTCCAATTCATGGCCTTCTGGAAAGTTTCGAGGCTCGTTCGAATCGCAATATAGCGCTACGAGCTCATCGTAGGCTTTGGCAGCGTCAAGTGCCGTCCAGTAATCGCCACCGCTTATCACATGACCCTCAATCTTGATTTCTGCGCTATATTTTTTGATTCGAGTGTCGTCGTAAACAACACCCAAGTATTCCGTAGATTTCGTCCGTGTAGTATTGTTATTGTGAGTCTGCGAGAAGAGGCGATTGGGTACAGATAAATGTGAGCGCCAGACAGGAGAAGAAGATTTGCGAAGGTGCAGAGGAGAACGAATAGAGAAAGCGCGACGAGAGGAGGCAGTCACAGCGCGAAGCATTTGACGTGCGCATTGCGAGTGCATGTCCAAGCGATTTATTGAATCTTGTAATAATTACAAAAGTAGATTATTTAACCGGATAAATACATTGCAATATTTTGGAAGCTAAAAGTACTGCGCTCTCTGATTCTACTACCAGTTCACATAATTACAATTGAAGTAATTTCGTTATTACACTCAATGCCGTACCTCTGGTACTTTCGCTAGCGCTCAGTACCCGATATATATTTTAAATAATGCACAGCAAGAAGAAGACACATTGCAGCGGGGCTGCCGTAGCTTTGCGCTTAGAGGAAGCAAAATTTAGGTCACCGACCTTACGTTG